AATATTCCTGGATGGTAGAGGTATTGCTTCACATTGGATATGTTCAGTGTTTAGCACTAAAGGATAAAATATTTGTCTGTTTTTTTTTTGTCCCATTAGGAGACATTATCAGAGCAGACTTCCACCTGTTATGAATATCATGGAATTATTCCTGGTTCCCAGAGTGCTCAGGACTGTTGACTGGGGCATATTCAGACGGTCAATCTTTTTGCTGCGGATTTGTTGCTGTGGGAGGAGACAACGGTGAAAGCAGTGGCCCCTTCCCCTCCTCCTGCGCCAGCCGGCTCGTGTGCTCCGTCCCCGTCCGTCCCTGTCCCCCGGGCGCTGGCGCGGTCCCTGCAGCCTGCTGCAGGAGCGCCCAGCTCTGCCCAGGCCCTGCGCAGCCAGGCTGCCCTGCAGCCCTCCCGGCTCCTCCATTTCTGCGCGTTCAACCCCAGGGCTCGCTGCAAAGGTTTGCGGGACAGCAGAGAGCAGCAGAGAGCTACAGACCAACACGAGCGCCAGGCCGCAGCAGCCTGCAGCCTCCTGCGCCTAGCGCATGAAGAGAAGATAAATAAACATACATGGAACAAGCGAGCTCGGAAGCCGTATGGATTGAGTTGGAGATTGGAGGGATTATCTCTGACACGGAAAAATCTCTGCCTAGCGCACTGCTCCTACCAGCTACACAGCAGCACTTCTCCTTCAGTCTGCAAAGGCCTGAACTGATGTCACGTTTGTGCTTTCCCTGAATTATTTTAAGAGGATTTGATTTGGCTTTGGCTTCTTTTCCACTGACCACACAAGTAGCTTTTCTCATGCGAATGAACACATAAATCCAGTTTTTATCACATAAGTTTCAGAATTCATACCAGGCAGAATATTCCTTAGCACTTAAGACCAACTGCCTCTACGTGATGCCTTGAGCAGCACGAGGTGGATCACAGACGGATCCTCCTTCCTACCAGGACGCCTCGCAGACGCCTGCCAGAGCTCCCTGGCGTTACCTGAGTGTAACGTGCCCCTACAGAAAGGCACAAACGAAACACATTTCAGCCTGGAGAAAACATCTCCAACATCGCAGCTAAGGAAACTAAACCCCAGCCATCCCCTGCCTAAAAACGTGTTAGTTTATTTGTCTTCGTTAGATTAATTCCCAGCAGAAAGTCAGTATGTGCTTTCAAATGGCAGCTCTTTTATTTAGAGAACCCCTGCTGTCTGCTCTGTGACATTACAATCCCAGTTAATATTTTTTAAAAAATTAATTATTATCTATTTTAAGGCTCTGTGCCATTAATTTTAGCACTGTCAGAAACTGCTTTCGAGGCCACAGCTCGTGCTTTCGCAATCAGACATGACCGCATGTGAAACCCAGGCACAGCCTTCATTTGCTTTGCACAGTTTTCACAGGGCGGAACGCCGTGTCCAGTGCCAGACGTACACTGCGGCGCGGTGCGTGCGCGGACACGGAGCAGAGGTGGTGGCCACACGGCACGTGCGCACCGGACTGCGGAGCAGCCCCTCGGAGGCAGCTGTCCCCTCCTCGCCCCAGCGCTGCTCTTCCGTATTTGTTTCCCATCGCGAGGCCTGCAGCCCTGCTCCCACGGGCTGGGGGGAGGCTCTGAGCTGGCAAATGCCTTTCTGTGTGAGAGGGCGCACGCTGCGCCCCTCAGGTCACTTCTGGGCCCCCTTCCCCACAGTCACACCCAGTCGTCCCAAACACCTGCGCCCCGGGTCCGCTCGACCCATGTTAATGTCTCTGCCTCGTGCCCACCTTGGTGCAGGGCCGGGCCATGACAAACAGCGGGGTATGGCACCCGGTGGGGTAGTGGCACCCGGCGGGGTGGTGACAAACAGCAGGGTGGTAGCACACGGCGAGGTAGTGGCACATAGGGAAGTGGTAGCACACGGCAGGGTGGTCCTGAGCAGCAGGGTGGTGGCACATGGCGGGGTGGTAGCACACGGGGAGGTGCTGGCACACGGTGGTGTGGTGGCGAACAGCGGGGTGG